AAAGTTACGGCCAGTAGCAGTGGTTTATTAATTTTTATTAATAAACCGTTTATTGCGGTTTAATTAAATTAATTAATTTTCTATACAGTACGTTTATTGCGCGTTTGATTCATCATTAGTGACCATGATACGAATTACTCGTATCCGAATGCTTTTTTCAGGCACTTCAGCGTAGCAGCGAGCAACGTTGGGTCTATTTATTGTTCAGTGAAGTTGAGCAACGTTGCGTCTGGTTAGTACTTGAACGGGAAACTTCCATGGAATCCCAGATGCTGTTGGGGGCTGGGTGGACCAAGCTTGTAGCAGTGAGTTGTGGGTTCGATCCAAGCTAGTAAGAACAGCTCTGGTCAAAATCGGCGAAATGGCTAAGTGGTTAATTAAGTACAGTAAAATTTGAGCACTGGTGAGTTGTGTGTTCGAGACCCGCAATAAGCTGTTTAAATTCTGTTATACTGAAAATCGACGAGAGGCCTGATGGCCTAATCTTCGCTGACAGCGCCGTGTTATTATTATGTTCTAAGTTTGCAGGAGCTTTCAGTACTTACAAAACGAAGTAAAATGTACGGAAATCACACGCAGTAACAGTAGTGGATTCACACAATGAAAGAAAATGTACGAAAATGAAACACAATAATATTAAATCCAAACAGAAAAATTTTAATGGCTGGCGACACTAGGATCAATTAAATCGTTAAAATTGTAAAGAGATTAATTAAATTGCTTTGTCTTAGTTTATAGAAGAAATTTTTTAGTTTTATTATCATTCACATACATTATTTTGATGCAGTGTGCATAACATGAATCTGGCAAAGAGACTAAGTTGTTCAAATCTTTCTTAAATTTTTGTCCCATTGCTGGGAGGGCAGCCGAGCACCACCAATTTTGTGCACCAATCAGCCCTGAATAGACCGCCTAGCATATTTCCGGAAGACGGAGGATTAAACCTGTCGTAAGTATCCAGCCCATGACATCATCTTGTTTTGAATATTACCGGCTTTATACTGCCATACACGAAAGCAAATAGCCTAGAGTGTAATGCTCGTCCACCACTAAACATTACATCGAAACATCATTTCATACCCTGGCTATAGCTCGAAATGTATTCAGCGTTCAACGGACTGCCATCAATTAGCATAGATAGTCAGCGAAACTGCATGAAACCTGCCGTATATCACCAGACCGCGGATCGAACATGACTTTAGGGACTTCCTTAAAATACGTAAATTTTACCTCACTGAATCTGGGGTTATGTTCCCGATAGCATAGTTCTGTTCCAAAATCTATCGTCATTAGACCAGTGGCCGTTCGACTCGGGGCTGATTCGATGCATGGGCGAGATAAGGACGGGTCGGTGGCGATTCGAACCTCATATTTAGTGCAAGGCTCCGAGGCGCTCGCTCTGTCCGAGTGGTGCAGAATTTTTTCGCGTTTTGGCAGACGATGCTGGGCTTACTACGTCAGACTACATTCATGTGGGCTTATTGATCTCCTTCAATGTATGTGATCTGTCTGGTAGCTTGCGGCTGATAATGTTAAAGTCCAGAAGTGTTACAGGCTACATTCTTGAGGGAAGAGATCACGAAAGTCCATTCGAAGCACGGCAGTGGTGGTCTTCGATAGGCATCCATATTAGACAGGGCCGCAGCTCTCGTCGACATTACAATACATTATTTGAGATCTGAACTAGCGGTCCCAGCAATTAATTACGCGTGAAAACTTGCACCTTCTTACCAGTTCCAATGTTAACTCTTTTTGTCCCATAGCCTCCATCATTTTCTTCTCTAGTAACTTTGGCATTTTAATTATTATGCACAACCCTTGATAATATAGTTTATTCTCTAATTCCGGGGTGCTTGCGTTTTTCACTTCTTCTGAACGCTTTGGCTCGCCCGCCAAATGTTAATGCAAGTTTCCTGAATTAAATCCCAAATCAAAGTAAATTCTCTTTGCGAAAATAATCTTCAATAAGCACCTTTTAAACTGTACATCTCACAAGTAGCCTTTGGGTGAAGTTGTTGTGGCATGCAAAGCAAGTGAACTTGTTGTGCCATGCAAGGTAAATGAATTCGTTGTGGCATGCAAGGTAGGTGAAGATTTTGTGGCATGCAAGGCAAGTGAACTAGTTGTGGCATGCAAGATAAGTGAAGTTGTTGTCGCGTGCAAGGTAGGTGAATATTTTGTGGCATGCAAGGCAAGTGAATTAGTTGTGGCATGCAAGATAAGTGAAGTTGTTGTGGCATGCAAGGCAAGTGAACTAGTTGTGGCATGCATGGTAAATGAATTCGTTGTGGCATGCATGGTAGGTGAAGTCGTTGTGGCATGCATGATAAGTGAAGTCGTTGTGGCATGCATGGTAAGTGAAGTCGTTGTGGCATGCATGGTAAGTGATAAGTGAAGTCGTTGTGGCATGTGTGGTAGGTGAAATAGCTTAGTTCGTTGAACAATGGACCAGATCTCCGTAGCCTACATACCCATAAGGTGACAATGTTGCAACGTATGCGCTCGCGTCAGTGTTTCCTTTTATTTCTAAGAACTTCTTCATCAAATAGAAGCCAGTGCGGCATTCAAGATAACAAAATGTAATCTTTTTGAGGCACATAACCCTGATATAACATAAGTTTCTGTGTTTACATGCACTTTTAATAAAAAAATGTTTAAAAACATTTGAAAAAAATGTAATTTTTTTGAGGCACATAAACCTGATATAACATAAGTTTCTGTGTTTATATGTACATTTAATAAAAAAATGTTTAAAAACATTTGACACTATACACGGCGGAAGCCGATTTTTCAGATTCCTTGCTTTCACATCACAGTGCTTACGTAAATTTCTTATAATTGAATTTTGCAAATAAACTGAGGAAAAGACAAATCCGGATAATTAAGAAAGATGCATGCAGGATCTGAACTTCATATATTGCATCATCTATGCATTAAAATGATCGTAAATCAATAAGTATTTGTTACAATAAAGAGTTTCTGTGTACTGACAGTGAGTACTTTGCAGATGCTCATTTTTTTCATCGTGAGTAGTTTACTTCAGTGTTCATGTCGGCCGTAGCAGTGTTTACTACCACTGCGCAATTAGTTCATACTTGCAGTATCTTCTCAGGTACGCAGCGGGTTCTATTAAGTCTACGGAGTTGACTCCTAAGATTTCATTTACTTTCCCAAAAGTTCACACGCAAAAACAACGCCAAATAAATTCACGGTTTGTTCGGAGTTTTTTTGTTTTTAAATTTTGGATGAACTTCTGATTTAAGTACAATACTTCTTTTCCTTGTCCCAATTTCTATTAAATGTGTACATATTCAAAATTTTTCAATATCTATTTCATCATAAATGTTGAAATCACCTGATTTTTTAGCTTATGAATTTCAATCATTATTAATGATAACAATCATTTTTCCGATTATTTTGACTGATGAAAGAAGAAATATTTCGGAGATTTCTTGTAATTTTAATATTTATTGAGTGATGGTTGTCAAACTGCATATTCTCAGTGATGTTTATAAATTTCCCATAACCCTTGAAAATTTTAGTTTCTAGCTTTAAGGATTCTTCAATAAACATTAAAATAATTTTTTTAAGTAAGCCATCATGTCCGGGATATAGTATTTAAAAGTTTTTCATCCAAACGATCATTCAAGTTAGATTAGTTTGCTTTAATATTTCTTCATCTAACCTTGGATAACATTTCACTACAATTAGTTCATAAACTTAAGGAACAGCGGCCCCAATACAACGAATTGATTGAAGCACTTCTCACGCAAGACGGCGAGGTCGGTCTTAGAGTTGGATGATTGTTCTAACAGCGATGATTGTTTTACCAGCGATGATTGTTCTAACATCGACGATTGTTTTATCATCAATTTTTGTCCTAACATCGACGATTATCTTAACATCAATGATTGACCTAACGTCTATGATTATCTTAACATCGATGATTGTCCTAACGTCTATGATTATCCTAACGTCGGACACGGCAACTCATGACTGTAACCACTGATTGGTTGTGGCGTTGAAAAGTTGTACGAGTTGCCACAATGTGGCGTGTGGCGCGAGCTGATTGACACGATAGCCTGCTCGGTGGTTTGGTCTTATTCAAAACTTTCATATATTATTAAAAGCTCAAAGACTTTACTTCACTACCCCTGCTAAACCATTGAAATGAGACGTACAGTCGTATTTATTTCAACACTATATTGCCACATTAAGGCTCTACCGTTGGATTATAAAGCACGGTTAATAGTTTGGATTATGTAAGTATTAAATGAAAGGAAAAATATAACGTCCTTCATTGTTAAAGCTGAGCTATAGAAAACGTCGATGCCCACCAAAGAAATTAAAATCAACTGTTGGGTTGAATAAAATGTATCTGCTGAATATATCTCATTACTTGGACGGAAAATGATTCTTAAGATTAACGATGACAGATGAAATTCACGACTGTTCAGTAGCCGTTTGCTGACAGAGTGCATTTAATTCCATAGCGAGTCAATTCATATAATAATGTCACACACAGAATTTGTATTGGTAGACTAGAAATTCATGGATAAAGACTTGTTCATGAAGAAACTAATGAACACAAATACGAGCAAAAAATATTAATATGCAAGTTGCAGAAGTCCAGCTATGTTTACAGGCTTCTTTTGCATCGTGGCTGCTATTTTGGTTACATCATGAAGCGAAAATATGATGAAAGATCTGGCAGATTTTGTTTTTCCTTATTTTCAGTGTCAAGAGAGTAAAATATAGTAAATCTTGATTTATTTTATTATTGGACCAAATTTCACATGTCCAATCCTTACGAAAACTTGAATCTAAAAAAAGAAATAACCAGTGCATATAATCGCATAACATTACATCGATAGCATTGTATTCAAATACACCCTTCACCCCACCTCTACCTAACACCCCAGCAGCCTGACCACAGCAGTCACCCCTCACCCCACCTCTCTCTGACACCCCAGCAGCCTGACCACAGCAGTCACCCCGCACCTCGCCTCTCCCTGACACCCCAGCAGCCTGACCACACCAGTCACCCCGCACCCCACCTCTATATGACGTGGTACACACACTCCAGGAAATATGACGTGGTACACACACTCTAGGAAATATGACGTGGTACACACACTCTAGGAATTATGACGTGGTACACACACTCTAGTCTAGGAAATATGACGTGGTATACACGCTCTAGGAAATATGACGTGGTACACACACGCTAGTCTAGGATATATGTCGTGGTACACACACTCTAGGAAATATGACGTGGTATACACACGTTAGGAAATATGACGTGGTACACATACTCTAGGAAATATGTCGTGGTACACACATTCTAGGAAATAGGACGTGGTACACTTCCGGGGAAATTTGACGTGACACATTCTAGTCAATAAGACATATTAAATAGAAAATATGAAATAGGTAGTCACCTGGACAGTTGATGAACAGATTAATCCAACAGGAATATTATGACAATTTATTACCCAAACCAAACGACTGGATGCTATATGACAGACAAAAAAGTTTTCAAATCAATTGTGCTGAAAAACATCAGCAGCACAACCGCAACCGACCGAATCAATCTCCTGATTTACCATAAAAGCAAGAAACTCGAAAATTTGATAATGAAAAATAATCCGTGAAAAAAGTCGTGGCCAGTGTAAGAAATCAATGTAATTTACACATATTAATGCCATGAAGAAGGTTGAGGACCTCTCCAGATGTAAATTACATCTGCTTTACCAGCACGACTTTAAGCCACCGCCTAGCGTGCCACCTCCAGACCAGAGGGCTAAGGAACCACATGAGAGAAGCTAATAGTGAGGCCCTGACTCTAGGGACGTTGCAGACCTACACCAGCATATTAATGAGATGCTCAGACACCACAAGACTGGCCATAGCTGAGGCTCACTTCATCAAGCACGAGTCTCCATCTATTAATTTACAAACTACCGGACTTGTCAGGACGTTGAAACTGTTCTTGTAATTCTAGCTTTGATTTTCAATTGATATACATAAACCTATGTTTGTACCTACGTCATTTCTAAATTTCAAATTCAAATTATTCAAACTCTTCCCATACTTGACAATGAATTTAGTTGCATTTGAAATGTCTTAAATTATAATAAAATGTCCATTTGAAGCCTGACATTTGAATTTTCAATTCCTATCAAAGGCCTAATTTGCCGATGGAAGAAAATCAGTAAGAAAATTTTCAGTAAGAAATATTCTCTGTTACTCAAAGACCTGCATTCAAGAACAGATAAAAATGAAGAAGTGAAGAAGAGGTTTATGGCAGCGGAATGACTTGTATGGCAGCGTAGCCCTGGTGACCAGATGATGTCTGAAATGTCGTGAGGTACCGTCCCTCCGCGCTGGTGTTGGTGACGAGGGTGACCGTCGACCATTCCGGTGGAAATCCGTCAAGTCTTCCAATTTTTTGCCCCAGGCTGAAGTCACTCGTGTTGCTGAGGATCACGTCCATGTTCTCAAGCCAACCATCAAATGCTGTAGCTATGATCACCGCTTGCACTCGAGTGGTCTCTTCCAGGTCAATCTGCGTGAAGCTGTTGGATCCTCGTTCTACAACGAAAGCTGGGTAAGAGGAGCAGGCGAATCCTTCTAAGGCATACTTCGGACCGTTAGTGGCAAGTGACCAAATCAAAGAGTAAGTGAAGGAAGAGTTTGTCCTCACTATGTCCCGGGGGTCCCCCCACGATGTGTAGCAAGCGTCGTACTGTGTTCCCGTTGTCGAAACCTGATGACCAGGCCATCGCACAGCAACAAACGCATAGAACAGAGCGCATGTACCTAGACCTGTTGAAATCCAAATACAGTCAATTAGTCAATTAGATTAGTATTCTACAGTCAATAAAAATATTTTTCGTATTCTCGTCGATCGTGAGAAAACAATGCAACCGTTAGTACCAGCTGAGGCCCGCCTACCTTCAACTAAATCCCTCTGATTCTTGCGAGTAATTACAAGCGTAATAATGACGTTATTGCATGAACTTCACACAAACCTGTTACACACATTTTAAGAAATGCTTACACTTCCTAAGACATATTTGCTTGAATTATATACCTTTCTCTCACCTATTTAACGTAATACAGATCTGTTAGCAACTGGCTAACAATTTTTCCGCTACTTTCTTGAGCTTATTAAGAATATTCAGGCATATTGGGAGCGCAGCTGAGAGAAAGTGGGTGGGAGAGGTTGACACCCAAAGAGGGTAATCTTTGTATTATGATGATTATTCAACCTCGTCTGTAATTCAGACATGCAACCAAGTTCAGTTTCCATTTCTTGCATAGCAACTCCTCGTGCACAATTACACCTTCGCCGCTGCGCAAACTACATTACAAGGCACGATGGAACAATTGCGACAAAGCCTCCTGCCGCAAACAGCACCTCAACCGATCTATTGTCTCCAACGACATGCACCTCAGCCTTTGCATTGCCTCCGCCAACAGGCACTTCATCCCTTGTATTGCCTCCACAAACAGGCACTTCTTCCCTTATATAGCTCCACCAACAGACACTTCATTACTTGTATTGCCTCCACCAACAGGCACTTCTTCCCTTATATTGCTCCACCAACAGACACCTCATCCCTTGCATTGCCTCCACCAACAGTCATATCATCCCATGTATTGCCTCCACCAACAGGCTCACAAGTTCTTGTAGTGCCAGTAATTTCGTTTGAACTTCACATCCCTTAAAGCATTGATTATGAACAGTACAATAACGTTTATTCATAAATGTGTATGTATTATATGAATCAAGTTTTCCCACTGCAATTACATTCATTGACTGATGGTCAGTACGTACCAGTTAACGTACTGGGGGCAATCAAAAGACTTTCGCTATGGGTATGAGTCTTAAAACACGTTTCATACTCTTAAGAATGCAGAAGAAGCGTCAGTTGGTAGTCCGCAGACACACAAGGCCGCAGGCCATGCGAAGGCCCAGCCTGGACCCGGTGGCTGTTACTGTGGTGGAGTTAAGGAAGCACAGGGCCTCCGTGTAACTCCCCTCCACCTGACAGGAAGCGAGGGACGATACTCAGAGAAACTCTTCATTGATGTATGAGGGATTAGTTTTTGGACCAATAACTTTAATATTACTGATTGAAGGCAAAAAATATTTGCACAAAGGAAGTACTTGCATTAAAACAAGTTTTTACTTCGTAATGATGATTGCGTGAGTGTGGTATGGGAGGTGAGTGTTCGTCTTGGCCAAAGCCTTCGACAGTATTCCGAACGAGGGGCTGTTGCTTAAAGTGAATTCTTTGGGAATATAGGGAAATGTATTCCACTTGATCGAAGATTTGCGATATAAGTAGACGTCAACGGGTTAATATTTATGAAACTGTAGCTAACTGGTCATCAGTGTACAGTGGCGTGTCACAAGGAAGTGTACTTGGGTAAGTTTTACTTGTTGCTTTTGTAAACGATCTGCCAGAAGAAGCGTCAAGCGAGCGTTCCATGAATGCTGACAACAAAAAAGTTGTTATACAGCGAAGGGTGCGTCGAAAAGCGCAGTTGCAAGATGATCTTGATAGCCTAGTCGTGTTCAGGATTAGTATCAAGAAATAATGTTTCAGTAATAGTAATTTTTCCATTTCTAGTTTTGAGCCTTCAGGACTTTATGTTTTATGTATTAACTGGGTTAATTTCATTCTTTGCATAGGTTTCCTGTTGTTGACTACAAGTTCACAACACTTTTGTACCGATAAGATCAGTGAAATACATGTGTGAAAACTATGTGCTTTCAACATGAATTGAACCTGCATGAAGGAGATTTAGAGAAGGTGAACATAGAGACAGATTAATTCCTCAAAACAGCAAGCTGACAACATAAAAAGATAAGATTATCCTCGGTATCGTTGTATTCCTCACTGTGCAAGGCCTTGTCTCACCTTAGCAAAGCGTTGCGCTACGTGATCTCCGGACGCCTGCCCCAGCACGGATATCAACAGCAACAACTTTACTGAGCGATATTTTTCTGACATCTTTGCTCTATTGACGTGGTAATTTACTGGCAAACGAGGAGCTCGTATGTGATGAGATATTTTTGTCCTAAAGGTTGCTCTATGCTGTTAGAATTAGAGGTTAGTAGTTCACTGATAAATTCAATAATTTTTAATTTACAATGAAGCTGAAAGGTTCAGAATTTCCAGAAGTCATTTGCGTTGATGATGATTAACGAGTTTGGCGTTTGCGGTCAAGGACCACAGCAGTGATCCACAACGCGCACCCGTTTTGTTAGAATGTCCACGAAACTGAATTAATGCCACTCGTTTGCTTGAATCGTAAATTTAGTATAAATTTTATAACAAAGAAATTCCATGAAAATTTATCATATCTCTCAAGGTAATTATTATATTGCATGTGGACATGAGAAATATTATCATGTTTCTCCTATAAACTTGTAATTGTAAATAGATAGGAGATAGCAAACCGAGCTCATGGTAACAGTTTGCAAAAACAGCTTAATAACGGGTACCGATCATTTACCCACACTCATATTCCGAATCTTGCCTACAAAATTAACGAATTACCCCTGAATAAAACCTATTCATTTACCTTCACTATTATTACGAATCTCGACCACAAAAATTTATCAATTACCCCCGAATTTGCATAAACAGCGTAACAGCTAGGGTACCGATCATTTACCCAGAATATTGAATATAAAATTGAACAATTATCGCCGAATAAAACCTGGTCATTTACCTACAACTTTATTTAGAATTTTGACCATCAAAAATTTGAGCACTGTCTTACGATCATTTACCCACAATCATACCCCGAATCATGAGTTAACAACCATTTACCCCGATTGAGCACTCTTTAACCGAGAACTCAGGGCTTAATCTAGAGCTGTTGCCTGAAAATGACTTTTGTTGAATATATAATTGATTTAAATTTTTGAAATACTTTCCAGAACCGGGATGCTCATCTCTATTGATCAACACAAAACTATAGCTACTTTATATGTTTCATCACACAGTTCTTGAAACTCCCCAACTGGCATAGCATAAGCAATGTAATCACTATGAATATTCTTCATATCGATGAAAGGTAACTGGAATAGAATTAAAAAATTTGAATTCGTTCTAATGGTTCGTCTTGGTAGTATGTGATAGTTTTGGGATAAGTTAATTGAATTATGATTATCATGTCTTCAACGGTTGTGTAAAAATTATTAGCAGGGTTTTGATTCTTTTCCGTAGCAATATCATAAAAAACGAACAAATTCTTCTTCACTGGTTCTATATCACTGGGATCAGGTACAGTAGCAGTGTTCTAAAAATATTCAATAGCACATTTTTTTGACGTCTTTTAGGTAGGTTTTCAAGATATTCATCAATACTACCATTGCCGTTAGAAAATAAATCAATGATTTCAGATTTATTACATCCCTTATCGAAAGCGTTCTTCAACAACTTATATTCAGGCTAATGAGTTGACTTGCTAGACAGGAAAAGATTGTTGAAATCAAAAAAGTACTCCAATAGCAACTGAACAGTACAATTAAGTTTGTTCATGAATGTGCATGTATTATATGAATCAAGTTTTGCCATTGCTATGCAATATTACATTCATTGACAGATTGTAAGTACCAGTTAACGAAATTACATACAAAATGGTTCTTCTGTTTATTTTTATTATCGTCTTTCCATTTATAGAGCATTTTTAGAGTTTTATTTCTAAATCCTTTTCAATGTTAGTTTTAATATGTTCACTTAAATTTTCATCTGATTTATTTCAGTGGAGAGATGGCGAATATCATAGCGAATATTATCAACATTTATCTGCAGCTGATTAATATTTCCAGAATTGGACATCACCTCTCTTTGGACATCTGTTATTACGTCTTCCATTTATTTAAGAAATTTTTATCAAGCTTTCATCTGCTCACAGGCTGCCTTGAATGACAATAGCGTGTAAATTAACTACCTTCTATTAGGTTTAATTTATTTCCATCATAAATTACTCTAAATTTTCGAATAATTTTAATGGGCACATCGCTCTGAATTAGATGAAATTACTTTTCTAAGCCAAACGGTAAATACATAAGGTAGAGTGAATTGTCAGTCTTTTGTCTATTAATTATTTCCTATTGTACATTAGCTCTCATTTTTATTAACCAAGATTTTAAATTCATTTGATGAATTTATAAATTTGGAATGTTTCTCATTTAGCTGGAAATCAGTTTGAAGGTCCGCTTCTCATTGACGCTCCATTTTTCTGAGTCGTTGAAACAATTTATCTTTAATTCGTATTAATTCTGCTAGTTTGTTCTTATTTAATGCTGTATTTCTAACAGCATAATCAATAAACGCTTTAATTTCAACCTGAATCCCCTCCAGTGATGATAACTTTTCATTCAGAAACCAAATTTCCAATTTGTTTTTTTTTTTTCGATTTTTCATGAATTGTCTTTACTTTCTCATCGAGAATGTCCAACTTTGAATTCACTTCTATCATTTCCAGAGTTACTTTTCCATCAAGAGTTTCTACTACAGATTTTACAGCAGGTAATTCTCTCTCGAGAAAGTTGATATATACCATGGCACCCTCCCACACAACATCTATTTTTATTGGTCATTTCTGAATCCTTACATAAGCATCTGAGACTTTTACGACCTCTTCATCAACATAACTCTTGCACGAAGCATCCTTATCTTCAATTGGATAAGAGATATTTGCAAGTCTCCGATTAATGAGATCAAAATTTTTTTCAGCGTCAAGGTACTGAAAGCCAATGCCTGGAGAACCTCTTAGATGTGATATGAACTTAGATGTGTTCCCGAACTCGTGAGGCTACAAGATTATTTATACGATCAGTTAATATTTTATTCAGTTCTATGTTTTTATCAGTTTCATTTTGTAGCATCAATTTAAGTTGGTTAATTTCATTCTGATTTGATATAATATCTCTAGAAAGGTCATGAAATATGTTTTTAATATCTTTCATATCAATAATAATATCTTCTATTTTTGTCTGCATAACTGACGCCGCTCGTAACTCCATGACTTGTTCTATAATGTTATTAAATTTTATATCATTAATTGAAGCTAAATTGGACTCCAGGGTTTTGAATTTCTGATCAACTTCAGTAACAGATACTTTTCCATGAATTTTTAACTCGAGGTTATGAATCCGCAATTCTGAAGTTTTAAGCTTTTCATTAACTAAATCTTTCAACACCAAATGTACTCTCTGGAACTCCTCATCAGCTTTAATAATCAGTTTCAAATTTTCTTCAATATGCAATTCCAAATTCCTGACTATATCATCAAGCGCTACCTGCAAACTATTTATTTTTTCATCAAATTGTTTCATTAGTTTATCCTCAATACCAATTTCTATAATTTTTACTGTGATCGAGCGCTAACTGCAAACTGATGATTTTCTGATTAATTTGCTTGATTAGTTTTTCTTGAACATGCAATTCCAAAATTTTCACTTTGTCATCGAGCACTAACTGCAAACTGATGATTTTCTCATCAATTTACTTAATTACTTTTTCTTCAACATGCAATTCTGAATTCTTGACTTTACCATCAGCTATTCCGCTTTACCAATTGACAGTTGCAGCTGAATGCAAACTGTCAATTTTCTCATCAAATTGTTTAATCAGTTTTTCTTCAGAAGAATCTGTTTTAGAAGAATCTATTTTAGAAGAAATTTCAAACCTAAATCAGTATTAGAAAACTCAACTTGTAAGTCTTCTCTCACAGGGTTGTAATAATTGAATTGAAGTTGGAATATTCACTGCGAAGTTTCGATTGAAGTTTTCAAAGACTCTAAGAGAAATACTTCAATTGCTTCTTCCTCACCATCTTTGCGAGCTGCGGAAAGATTCAAATTATTTGCAAAGATATTAATACTTACCATTTTATATAGAATTATGAAATAAATAAATTTTAATAACCATTTTATAAAGATCTAAAAGGATGGAATAAAATCTCTCATACTCTAGTCTTTTTAATATCTCTAAGCATAAATTTCCACAAATTGCATCACCCATTTTTTGTATTTTACATATAGGCGGACCAAAAAATGTTGCATTTATTCATGTACGTTTTAAACTCATTAGGACATGTCAAACCATAACTATCAAAGTAATAACAAATTTAATTTTCCTTATACCAACAAGTCCAATGCGTTCCAGTTCCCTCTTTCACATCAAGATTCAGAATTTCTCGCTCCGTTTTAAGATGACCTAGGCAGTATTTCCCTTATGAAAATATCTCTGACTCTAGGAAATTTCAATACACTCCCAAATAATATTTTAAATAATTTTGTGTTAATGGTTTAATGGGTATTATTTTCTTGGTGGATTCAAGTAGAGACCTCCCCTACAAGATTTTTTTCTTTGAAGATTTTTTTCGCTGGAATCAATCTTAAACCGGATCCCTTTTTAGCTTCCATTGCTTCATTATGTCGCTTCGTTTCTGCTATAAGTTTATCATCTGCTTTCTTTTTGTTGACCGCACTAGCTATGGCAGAAGCCCCTCCTGCCAGAGACCCAGCAGCGCCTAGAGCTCCTAGGATAGCAGAAATTGAAAAGATGAAACCTCATTCTTTTGCTGATCCAAACAGAATTTTAGTTTTATAACAAATCAAGCAACGTCCGCTCTTCAATATTTTATAATTTTTCGTCGTAACATACCGAGCATTCTCAGTATAAGTTTTCTTTTTGACATTTTACGCAATACATCATTTTAATAAGAAATAAATCTAAAAGAATTTTCAAATTTTTAGTAATTTATATTCATTTTTTAGTAATTTATATTAATTTTTCTGTAATTTATGTTCATTTCCATCAGATTGTAATTGAATTATTCTGTCTGAAGGAATCAGAGCATAAGCATGTGTATTATCGGGAATGTTGGTATTGAATTCAGCTTTAATCTTCATATGAATAAGACTGTCCT